CTCAGAGCGCTCGCCACCGCCCCGGCTGGCTGCATCAGCCCCGCCACCCCCTCAGCCCTGGGCACCAACGGGCCCTGAAGAGACGCGCGCGGCGGCCCGAGCGCCTCGGCCGCGTGGGCCTCACGGCCGGTTTCCATGTGACAGCTGGGCGCCCCTTCCTCGGCTCCACCTCAGCACCAGAGACTCGAAGCTGCGAACAGCGCGACCAGCGCGAGGCGGTCGCGCGGTCCCGGCACCTGTCCCCGCGCGTGGGACGCGAGGCCAGGCGCTCAGAGCGGCCGCGGCAGGAAAGGGCTGGTGCGTCGGCAGCTGACTGGAGCTCCCGCCGCTATGCGGCGCCTCCAGAACCTTCGAAAGTACGAGAGAAAGAGGCGGGGCCTGGGGACTTTCGGGCAAGCGCATAGGCTTCGGAGCTGGGTGGTGGGCGGGGCTTCGGGGCAGAAGGCGGGAAAGCGCCCTCTGCTGTCCCGTACTTCCGCAGCGCCTGAGGGCCCCTGGCACACTGACGCGTTTCCAGAACTTTCTTTCTCGGTCCTTAAAGGTGACCACTATTAGATGCCCCCTCAGGGCCGGGGGATGTAGCTCAGCGGCATAAGTGCCTGCCTGGCAAGCACATGGTCCTGAGTTTGGTTCCCGCTACCAGAAAAAAAAAAAGAAAGCTTCGTTTACTTTTTTTTCTCAAAGCAAGTTGAAGCTTTCCAGCAGAATAAACACTTTCAAAGCACTGACTGATTATAAATATTCAATTCCAAGCTAAATACAGAGGTACTTTTAACTCAGCGTACAGGTGAGCAGGTGCCTCATTTTGTACTCTTCGCTAATGATTCCCAAAGGCGTGGCCTTTCTGAACCCTCTCTTGAAGCCCAAATTGTCCTTTCACTGTGACCTTAACAAGTCATCAGGAGGACCAGCAGCAAACCTTATTTTCCTCGAAAATACTTCCAGTACTGCCTGCCTAACCCAATAACTGAGCTAAACTTCAAAGAGGTCTTCACGTTGCATCTTAGGCACTTGACTATTTTAGTCCTAAATATTAAACTGTATTTAAAAGGATGCACTGGAATTATCACCAGGTTTCCAGGTTTTTTCTTTTTTAATAAGTTTTATTGCGACATAATTCACCTGCCATACACTTCAACCATTGAATGTATGGTTCAATGATTTGTTATATTCAGAGCTATGCAACATCACCACAGATTTTAGAATTTTCCTCCCCCTCAAACGTAGTCTCCATTGGCAACCACTCTCCACGCTGCTCCCTCCACCCAGTCACCAGGCCTAGGCAACCGCCAGTTTACTGCACATTTTGGGTAAATGGAATCATGCGAAGTGCAGAGGTAGGCTTTCATTTGCCTGGGGTGTATATATTAGCTGTAGGCTTTCTGGGTTGCACGGTAAATCTAAGTTTAACCTCTGGAGAAACTGCCACTGTTTTCCACAGTGACTGCACCATTTGACATTCCCAGCAGCAGTGCGTGAGTGTTCCAGTTTCTCCATATCCTCACCAGTACATTTACTGACTATGTATTGGATTATAGCCATCTCAGTGGAATGTGAAGTGGTGACTTGTGGTTTGGATTTGCATTTCCCTGATGGCTCACGATGGTGAGTATCTTTCCATGTGCCTATTTGTATAACTTCTTTGGAGTAATATCTGTTCCAGTCATTTGCCCATCTTTTAAATTGGGTATTTGTCTTTCAAGTATTAAGTAGTAAGCGTCCTGTATGTATTGTGCTTATGAATCCCCTATCAGATATATGACTGGCAAATAGCTCCTCTCATTCCATGGGCTGTCTTTTCACTTTCTGGATGTGTCCTTTGCAATAAACCCATGCCATTTGGACACAGGCAGTGCAGAACTTAACTTATAAAACAATACTTTGGGTTCTTCTCATGTTTCAGTAATCATATAGCCCATTGCCTCCCCTGCAAAAGAAAGCAGAAAGTGCCCATATAAATCCTATCTTAACTCCAGCTCAGGTAGAAATTAGGAACTTCATAAGTGGCACCCACATGAAAAATGGGTTCTGAGATCTGTTGAGAGCATACAGACCAGAGTTGGGAAAACTTTCAACACCTCTGTTCTAAGACTTAAAAAAAACCATGATGCTATAAAAAGATACATGTGTTCTTCAAAATCTTGTCATGCACAATAGTAGTAATTTTCCTACTATCCCTGTTCATCTGAAATTATTCCAGTGATGGACACAGCCTTTTGAAGGGCAAAACTGCCCATTTGCAAATGCCATGCCAGCGTCTTGCTGTTGTTACAATCTCCCCAAATTCTTCTTAGCTCTCTCTGAGGCCCTGCTGATTGAGACACACAGGAGTTGTGAACTGTGGCTTGAGTACAGTAATATTGTCTTGTAAATACAAACCCTGCTGGGTAAAGAAGGCAGTCTTTACCAGCTAATGAGCGCCTTTCTCGAAATTGGTGCACAAAGCCCACCTTCCCATTGTCTCAAGCAGGCCCTGGCCCCTTCCCCATTGTCCTTCCAACACACCCTGCCCCTTGGAGAAAAAATTGCAAAATTTGGATTAATCTTTTCTGTGTAGTTGAACAGTTGTTCCTCTCTTGCTTTTGCCCCTTATAAGTACCCTGACATCTGGTTGTCCTAATGCAGCAGCATCACAGACTGTTCTTCCAGATACTAGATGAAATCTTCGCTATGTACCATCTCCCTAGGGATTCTAATTTAATCCTTTTCCATGTGGCAGCTCTTCAAGAACTGCCCTTAGGAGCTTTCTTTTTCAAGTAATACCTCATCTCCCAGACCCTTGATCATTGCTCCAGGACATAACTTTCAGGTTGCTCTCCTCCTGATGTTTCTCTTCTAGAGGATTCCCTGTTTCTCTCCGTTACTGTTCTGTGTGCATAAAAGAATTTTAAATTAAGTGTTTTAATGAGATAATTGTAGGTTCATTTGCAGTTATAAGAAACCAGAGAGATCTAGGTACTTTTGACCCAGTTCTTCCCAATGCTAACATCTTGTTAAACTATAGTACATCATCTCAACTAGGATATTGACATTGATATAATCAAGATAGATATAACTCAGCCATCAGCCACAGCCATTGCTCTCTTCTCACCCCTTCCAACTACTGACAACTTCTAATCTGTTTTCTATTTCTATAATTTTGGCATTTTAAGAATGTTACATAAGTGGAATCATAATATGCCACTTTCTGGGATGTTTTTTCATTCAGCATAATTCCCCCTGGATTCACCCAAGTTCCATTTATCAGCAGGCCCATTCTGATGTATGCATGCACCCCCAGTTACTTTATTCACGATTTGAAGCATAGCTCGGTAGTTTCTAGTTTTTGGCTATTGTGAATGAAGCTGTTATGAACATTCATGTACAGACTTTTGTGGGAACATGAGTTTTCAGTTCCCTGGGAAAACTGTTCAGAAGTACAACTCTGGGGCATATGAGTGTTTGGTATTGAATTTTTTAGGAAGCTGTCAAGCTGTTTTCCAGAGAGGTTATTCCATTTTTTATTACCACCTGTAATACATGCATTATCTACTTTTTCCACATCCTCACCAGCATTTGCTGCCACCTTTTTTAAAGCCATTGTTTAGGTGTGTAGTGCTCTCTCACTGTGGTTTTGATTTACATTTTCCCAATGACTAATGATGTTGGAAATATTTTTATGTGCTTATTTGCCATGTGCTTATGTTTTGTGAAATATCTGTTCATATCTTGTGCCTATTTTCTAAGTGGGTTCTTTTTACTGTTGGGTTTTGAATGTTTTTTATATATTCTAGAACTAGTTCTTTGGTGAATATGTGGTTCGGAAATATTTTCTCCAAGTCTCTAGTTTGTTATTTCATCCTCTTAACAGGACCTTTTACAGGAAGAGCAAAAGTTTTTAATCTTAATGAGGCACAATGTTCAGTTTTTCTATTTTGGGATTGTACTTTTGGTTCCAAATTGAAGAACTCTTTGCCTAGCCCTAGATTTTCTCCTAAATTTGTTTTGTTTTTGTTTTGTTTTGTTTTTGAGACTGAATCTTGTTATGTAGCTCAGGCTGGCTTGAGCTCACTTTGTAGCACAGTCTGGCCTTGAACTTGGGGTGGTCCTCCTGCCTCAGCCTCCCAAGTGCTGGGATTATAGGAGCTAGCTACCACAACCTCTCCTAAGTTTTTTTCCTAAAGTTTTATAGCTTCACATTTTACATTTAAGTCCATGATTCATTTTGGGATAATTTTTGGATAAGGTGTGAAGTTTTAGGTTGAAGTTCATTTTCTTGCTTATAGATGTTCAGTTGCTCCAGTACCATTTGATAAATAGGATACCCTTTGAGTTGCTTCTGCCCCTTTGTTAAAAACTGGTGGTGTGGGCTAGGGATATAGCTCAGTGGCACAAGTGCCTGCCTGGCAAGCACAAAGTCCTGAGTTCAATTCCTGGTACCAAAAAAAAAAAAAAAAAAAAAAAAAAAAACCAAATAAACCCAACAAACTGGTGGTGTGGAGGTGGGATCTATTTTTGGGTTCTCTGCTGTCTTCCATTGACCTTCCTTTGACCTCTCTTCCATTGCCTCCTCCGTAATGCCACATACTGCCTTCACTGATGAGGCTATATAGTAGCTCTTAATATCAGATAGAGTGATCCCTCCTTTATTTTCCTTTTCCAAGACTATTTTAGCTATATTAGCACCTGTGCTTTGGCATATAAATTTCAGAATAGGCTTGTCTATGTCTACAAAACAACCTTACTAGGATTTAGGCAAAAATTGTAGTAAACCTAGAGATTAATTTGGAGAGACTTAACATCTTTATTATTTTGAATCATCCGAACTGTGAACATGGTACGCCTCCTCTTCATTTACTTAGATCTTATTTGATTTCCTTCATTAGAATTTTCTAATTTTCTACATAATGGTCCTGTACAT